GCTGAGGCTGCGTTTTTCTGCTTCCCCTGACCTGCCTGGGAATGTGGGGAGAGTGTGGTGGTGGGCCCCTGCTATGGGTGCCAGATGCCCAGAGACTCTGGCTGGTGGTCTCTTGCCATGCATGCTCATGGTGTCTGCTAATACGTTATTTCACATAAGATAAAAAGACAGTTTAGGGGAGTAATGCATTCCAAAGTAGATGGAAGGCTGCGTTTTTCTGCTTCCCCTGACCTGCCTGGGAATGTGGGGAGAGTGTGGTGGTGGGCCCCTGCTATGGGTGCCAGATGCCCAGAGACTCTGGCTGGTGGTCTCTTGCCATGCATGCTCATGGTGTCTGCTAATACGTTATTTCACATAAGATAAAAAGACAGTTTAGGGGAGTAATGCATTCCAAAGTAGATGGATTTACATGAATAACACTCACTGAATGGGATCCTTATATCGTTCGCCAGAACATCAGTGCAAGGAGAAATGAAGCTGAATTTGAGTCAGCTCTGTATTAACACAGTCTGGCAGAGCACCTGAACCCCTGTTATAGGCCATCCACACTGGATATCCAACAAGAATGAATGCAGCATCAGTCATTGCTGCCTTCACTAGGCAGATAGCCACTGTCATTCTGGCTATCTTTGTAGAAAGGCAGGTTCTTGTGACTTTCCACTGAACAGCTATCTGTTACAAAGGTTTATCCCAGTCCCGCAAGTTCCAACATTCTCCTTTCAGATCAGATTTCTCCTGTAATGAGATTAATTTGGTAGCCTTGTAGCCTGGGGGTGAAGTATAATTTATGTGGGTATGACTCACCAATCTGACTAGAAGATTCTAGGTTTTATCCTCCTTCCCCAGGTCACAAAGGTTGAGGGCTATAAAGCTCTATTTCTGGAGGTGGATCTGGGGAACTACAACAGCAGCCACGCTCACAATAAGGATAGTACCAAATTAAAACAATTTTCCACTGTGACTGGTATTAAAATGGCAAACAAAACAAAGCATACAGCTCTGATCACACAGATTGATTCAATCACCACCGAGGGTAGCATTAACAAAGTTTGGTTACATAATGGTACTTATGTAAGTACACAAAATAAGTTATCTAACATAAAACCATACTTACATACCCTTTTCGCAGAAGACCGAGCATGGAAAGGCTACCGTTGAGTGAAAGGTGAAGTATGGAAAATTTAAAAGAAAAGAAACTTAGAAAGAATAGAAACAAAGAGCTTTGATATGAAGGAAAGAGATACTTATTACGGAAAAAGATTTCCCATATCTCAACTACTGCTATAGCTTTTTATGGGTCTTTTTGTGTCATTAACACCCAGCCTCTAATGGCCATAAGATTTCCGCAGCCTGAGATTTTGTGGGTGTTTGCACTTGATTAGATGGTGATATTGGGACATCTTTTGAATATGCATGAATAAGATCATCCGATGCCCCTCTTGGATGCGTTCCCTGACATGAAAAAAGTGGGAACCTGCGCTTAGGTGCAAGGCCTTCTGTTTCCTTGATCAGGATATCAGTTTGGCTAGGTCTTGCAGTTTTGGACCTATTGTAGGTCTCACTAGGCACTGATCTTACTCTATCTGTGTACTGACCCAAATGAAGATTTTGCCACAAAGCCTTCCACAATTTCTAAAGAGATATTAAAGATATTTAGTTTAATTTCTGAAAGATACTAACCCTTACTTATCACACTACCCTACTGGTAAAGCCAACTCATACATGATAAGTCTCATAGGTCTTGCATTACTGGCATTACTAAAATAGAGTAAGAGGGATAAGAGAGGAAAGTGTATAGATTTGCAGGCTACAGCCTGTCCCCACCCTTCCCTGCATGTATGCAAATGAGACAACTGCAGAGGGAGCTGCTGTTCATTCCTGACCATTTCTGCTTGCTAACTCAAGCTCACATGAATATTGATGATTCTAATCAACAGTGGATTCTGGTAACATTTTCAAAAGAGTCTTCAATCTGCCTCTAATTAATGACTTGTGCTATTGTGTGTCCTAACTACCTGATCTTGGGTGGGAGGGAAGTGCAAACAGGTAGACGTTTAAATGCTCTAATTTGTGATTGCATATTACAGGCTGTTTAGGAAAACTTAGCTTTAAAGTGTCAATTCCTTCCCCTCGCAGCTTTGATGATCAGCAGCAACAGACTTTGTTTTTGTAACACTGGATGGAAATGCAGGCATACCATAATTTATTGCTATATGGCTGCAGCTGTTGGTGGCAGGGTTTTGTTTTTTCTTTAAATCACAGACATGCGTGTACACAGCTGTTCCTTTAACTACATTGTTTTCAACCATAAGATGCAAATTCTAGGTCTAGAAACAAAATCAGTAACTTGGTTTGCATATGTGTAAAGTGACTGTAATGGGATTGCAGGTGTGGAAACTACAACACCAATAAAGAATAATGCTCTTTGAAGTACAAGCAACTTTCTTTTTCCCGATGCTTCCCTGTAATACTGAAAGGTTTTCTAATGCAGTAGTTTTCAATCTTTTTTTCATTTGTGGACTCTGAAAATATTTCAGATGGTAATGACCCCTTTGGAAATCTTAGATGTAGTCAGCAGACCCCCAGGGGTTTGTGGACCAGAAGTTGAAAACCACTGCTCTAATGCAGTATACTGAGCTCAGATGAAAAGAGTGTGATGTGAATCATTTTTAATGATAGAAATCCACAAGTGATTAGAAGATGAAATGTGAGTCAAATGCAAACAGCACCGTAATGTAAGTCCACCTCTGTTAAGGACACATTAAAATTAGAGATGGCTGGAAAACCATTTTCTGTTGGAAAATGTAGTTGAAATCACAGTGCTTTGTGAAATCATGTAATGTTGTCTAAATTTTGCCAAGAAGTAAAGAAGGGATAAGGACATTCTGATAGTGAGATACAGGGTGTTTGATCATTTTCTGAACTTTTGATTTTTTTCCTTTTAAAATGACTGTTTGTTTAGAATTTTTAAAAATATTCTTAAAATAAATTATATTAAATATTGCAGTAGATCACAAATTAATCTTTTAAAAAAAATCACAGAAAATTTTGAAGCTTTAGGTTTTTGTTCTGAATTGGAATGAAAACAAATTTGAAATCTGAAAATAGTGCATAAAACAGAAGTTCCATTCTCTGCTTAGCTGTAATTAAAATGTGTTCTATAGAACTCGATAACTTCAAGTTACTATGACCTTTGCTGTTTGTATGTCACACCATTGTGAACATCAGTAGTAGACAAAAATCCATGAAGTCTTGATGCTTCTGTTTGTGAATTTTTTGTTCTTCTACTTTTATGTGTGAGGATTCTAATAAATGCATTTTCACACAGGAAAGCCTAAACTAAATATTTTCAAATTTTAAAAACTAATTATCCAGAAATGTAATTAGTCCAATATTGCTCATTGTCTGAAAACTTCTCACAGGACATGAGTATGGAAGAGAAATTGTTGTACACAAATCTAAAGATAGCAGAGGGTTTACCATTTGGCAACCAGGACAGGGTCCATTCCTTCAATTCAAAATAAAATGGCATGACATTCCATGTGTAACTGCTACCGGGTGGATTTGAACCTGGAACCAATGGAACTTATAGTGTAGGAGCTTCTACCATTTGAGCTAAAAGCCAGCTGCTTCTCAGCTTAGGCTATAGAGGTCTCTTGTTTGTATCTGTTGCTGTGGTCTCAGTGCCACTGCATGGGACAATGACCCACAGTAGGTGTGTGGGTTACATATGCATTTTCTGATTTTTATGATTTTTATTTTAAGTAATATTTTTTAAAATAATACCTTTTTACTTTGTTATTCTGGGCCTGTCACACACAAAGCAGCAATACGAACGGGAGCATTCATACATGTGCACGCGCACACATGCTGTGCCTGCCCCTGCTTCAACTGAAGCTATTCGCAAAAATCCCAAACCACCATTGCCATCAATTTAAGCGTAACTGGGCCCTCTTTATCTTGCATTGACATCACAGCTATATATGATTTGTTTCAGCAGATCAACACTGGTGTCAAAACAAAGGGTTATTAGATTTGCAGTTTTCCCATTGCAGAGATTACTGTGCCTTAACTTCTGATACTTGAATGCTTCTGATTTGGCATTACTAGTCTATTCTTTCTGGAGATTTTACAAGGGGCTGGCCTCCTTATCTCACTTTTATTTGTTTTCCCTGCAGGAGAAAATACAAGAAAACATCACAGAGGTAAGAATAAGTCACAGAAGGCTTAGAAGGAGTTTGTAAGTCGACTGTCCTTAGAGCGGTTGAAGAAAGAATGTCCTTTCATGTATTGTTTTTAATGTATTTAATGTATTGGTTTTGCACATAATGGGAGATGTGTAAAAGACCCTCTCTGAGACACAATCATAGAATCATAGAATCATAGGATTGGAAAAGGTCATCGAGTCCAGCCCCCCGCCCTCAAGGCAGGATCAAGCTCCGTCTACACCATCCCTGACAGATGTCTATCTAACCTGTTCTTAAATATCTCCAGAGAGGGAGATTCCACCACCTCCCTTGGCAATTTATTCCAATATTTGACCACCCTGACAGTTAGGAATTTTTTCCTAATGTCCAATCTAAACCTCCCCTGCTGCACTTTAAGCCCATTACTCCTTGTCCTGTCCTCAGAAACCAAGAGGAACAAATTTTCTCCTTCCTCCTTGTGACACCCTTTTAGATATTTGAAAACCGCTATCATGTCCCCCCTTAATCTTCTTTTTTCCAAACTAAACAAGCCCAGTTCATGAAGCCTGGCTTCATAGGTCATGTTCTCTAAACCTTTAATCATTCTTGTCGCTCTTCTCTGTCCCCTTTCCAATTTCTCCACATCTTTCTTGAAATGTGGTGCCCAGAACTGGACACAGTACTCCAGCTGAGGCCTAACTAGTGCAGAGTAGAGCGGCAGAATGACTTCACGAGTTTTGCTTACCACACACCTGTTGATACAACCTAGAATCATATTTGCTTTTTTTTTGCAACAGCATCACACTGTTGACTCATATTCACCTTGTGGTCCACTATGACCCCTAGATCCCTTTCCGCCATGCTCCTTCCTAGACAGTCGCTTCCCATCTTGTATGTATGGAACTGATTGTTCCTTCCTAAGTGGAGCACTTTGCATTTCTCTTTATTAAACCTCATCCTGTTTACCTCTGACCATTTCTCTAACTTGCTAAGGTCATTTTGAATTATGTCCCAATCCTGTACTTATTACTCAAAACTCCCATTGAAGTGTGGAGTTAGTGGAAGTGTTGTCAGAATAAGGACTGGAGGATTTGTTTGTGAGCCCAAACACATTTTTTTCAATTCCTTTGACAAGATCTGCCTGTTCTTTCTTTTATCAGTACATATGCAGTAATAAAAACATTGATTTGTTGGCTTTGAGTCTTGCAGGTGGTATGTGCCTTTGCAGGAGACCAAAGGAAGATTGGGATCCCATTGATAAACAGACCCTTTTACTGTTATAAAAGATCTAGTTACCTTAATGTGGCCCTGTAGTAGGAAAGCCTAATCATAGTTCTCTGATTTGTTGCTCTCTAAAGAGCAATTATTTTTGTTTGCACTTGTTTGCTTTCAGATTGTGTGCTGTGCAGTGGTGACTCTAATTCATGGAGGTTAGGTCCATCAATGGCTATTAGCCAGGATGGGTAGGAATGGTGTCCCTAGCCTTTGTTTCTCTGGAGGTGGGTGACAGGGGAGGGATCACATGAGGATTACCTGTAGTGCCCCCTCCCTCTGGGGCATCTGGTATTGGCCACTGTCAGCAGACAGGATACTGGGCTGGATGGACCATTGCTCTGACCCAGTATGGCTGTTCTTATGTTCTTAATGTTTTAGAGTGGGACACTGCAATTTTCCATTAACACTGTATCAGGTTATAAATTAGGGGCTTAATCTTTCAAAGGGTGCTGTGCATCCTTAATTCCCATTGGCTTGTGTGAGAGTTGAGGGCCCTTTGCACTGTGAAGGATTGAGCCCTGAAGGTGCTTCTGAATGTGCTTCCTGGTGCTATTTTGTGGCTTATTCCAGTGAGATCCTCTTGCTACTGCATTGGACGCTTCTGTATTGGACTATGCAATTGTACTCCCTGCACATTGTGGGGCACTGGAACAGCTGCTGTGGATGTGATCATCTGAGAGAGCTACTGTGCTCAGTAAATAGCTGTTAATGGTGTCCAACCAGTTCTGAAGCAGTAGCCACTATAGCGAACTAGCCACGTTCAACTGGCCAAATAGCCACATTGTTCCAGCCAACTAGCCACACTACCAGGTGGCTAGTGGCTAGCATGTTGGACACCATGGACGAGTCTACACAGCAGGGCTAAACTCGAAATAAGTTATGCAACTTGAGCTACGCAGTTAGCACATTTTGACTTTTGTCACTGTCTGCACTGCAGTTATTTTGAAATAGAGCACTCTTCCCCTGACTTCCCTTATTCCTCATAATATGAGGTTTACAGGAATCGGAGTAAGAAGCCCATTATTTTGAGTTTATTTAGCAATAATGGGCTTGCTATGTAGACGTGCACTACGTTATTTTGGAATAACTAACATTATTCCAAAATAACGCTACTGTTCAGGACATAGTCCATGGGTGTAGAGAATTGGAATAAAAATAAATGTATGTTTCCAACTGGGCTGATGCCACAGTAATAGAACCCATACTGTTTGTTTGTCTTCAGTTGAGCTGTATTTCTCTCATGTTTCACTTTCTGCTGGTTTGATCCACTAGTTAATTATGTACATGATGTGCCTGCAGCAGGAGGTGCTTGGCTGCTTGTGAGATGATTTGTGGGGAGCAGAAAATAATTTCCTAGAAGTTGAATGATCTTTGCACTATGCACATATTTTGTATTGCTTGTATTGATTTGAGAAAAAAATCTAATTCGTGTGTTTTCTATACATGTTACTATGGCATTGAAGTGAGTGGGTTTGCTCAGGCGGTGGGTTTTTTGTATGGGGAGTTTCTGAAGCAGTAGCCACTATAGTGAACTAACCACACTCAACTGGCCAAATAGCCACATTGTTCCAACCAACTAGCCACACCCACATGTGGCTAGTGGCTAGCATACCACAGTGTGCATCAGAAGGGAGGTAAATTATAGTTCATAGAAATTATTGTTGTATTTATCAACTTAACTGAAATGTGCAAGAGATATTATGGCATTGTGTTTTTGGTAATCCATCTATAGTTATTCCTCCTGCTCACCACTAATGTACGTTACATTTTATGCCATTTGGGATTGTTGTTCTATTAGTTTGATTTCTCTCTGCATGTTTCCTGTGTGAAGTTTATGTCTTGAGCTGTTATCAATGTCTGTTGGCTGGTGAGATCCATAGTTTCGGCAACAGGATAGATGTGCTTTGTGGCCTTGTGTTATGAGACAACTGGTACTGACCCCATGATGGTAGGATGTCATTGAAGGAGCCTGTACATAGTAATTACGAAACATCTATTAATGATTACCTTTCTTAGCAAGTGATGGATGTCAGCCAGAAAACTGTGTACTATAGCAAGTTCTTCTTTGTGCCTGGAAATCTGGCTCTGCCTGCCTGTAGAGCAAAATGGCTGGCTTTGAGCTTGTCTAGCATTTGCCACCCGCTGTGTGACAAAAGTATCACACTGCAAAGGAAATTATATGTATATCTGAGCCAGAAGTTTAATGTGCTCTGGTACTAACAGGAAAGGATGCTGCAGGATGGAAATAAATTAATGCTACAAAGTGGCATGAATCTGTTGAATGGGGATTTCCAAAAATATGGAAATGATTTGATTCCAGTCTTCAGCCTTGATTTCCTTCCTTTATTCATTAATCATGTCTCTTTCTTTTTCTTCCGCACAAAAGAATCTGTGATTTTAAATGTCACCAAACCCAGAAGGGCAACAGCTGTACTCGTCATTTGTTCACTTTTGCATCTAGTTTCACATGATTCTCTATTGGTAGTAGCATTGTTAACTATTAATTATTTATATATTGATGTATAGATTGTTGCAGCAGTTAAAATGTTGGATGTAAATCCAAATATATATTAGATTTTGTTCTCTTTTACCTTTTATGTATGATGAATTCAAATAATATTTACATTTAGTTGGGAATTTTTGATGAGATGCGTTTTCATCAGAAAATGCTGATTTGCCAAAAACTCTCTAGTTTTTTGCAACAAATTTTGAAAGGTCACAGTTTCAGTCTGATGCTGAATGAAACCAGATGCCAAAACCTTGACATTTTTCACCAGATGGATGTATTTTTTTTCCAACGAGCCCTAATAATATTAGAGTATGAAAAATTTTCAAGTGTTGTTAAATTGTTGTATTCACACCAAGCCCTCAAGACTGAAACTGTTATGCATCTGTTCACCCTAATATACTGTATTTTGTACACAAACTACACTGATTTACAATTCCTACAAAGCTTTAGGAACTGTCAAATTGTTTATTCACTGGCCAAGGTCGGTTGCTTGAGAAGTCCTATTCAGACAAAAGAAACCGTAATGACATTATCACATCTCATTCAATGCCATATTCGCCATGCAATAAGCCACAGCTTGAATTGTTCTCTTGAGTGATTATTTTTTCAAATGTAGATAATCATATGAAGTACTATCTTGGTGTGTCTATCTGGGTTCTTGTATGGCCTTCATCACTATATTATCTGAGCCACATTAGAACTGTAATGTGGTATTACAAATACAGACTCTTGCAATAACTGCAGTAACTCAAATGCTTTAAAAAACTACTGTGGATTGATGTAATTTTCATCATAAACTTGTAAGTTCCATAGATATCTATAATCAAATACAATAGTCTCAAATTAGTACCTGAACTAATGAGCTATGAGGCAAATTAATCACTGCAGAGCCAGAGACACAGGTTATTTTAATCCGTATATAAGCCATCTATCATCTTTACATCTAGTTAACCTGGAGTTAGTGAAGATTAGATATAAGACTAGCTTGTTACCTAAGATATTTTACAGAGTAGATAACCAAATAACAAGCACAGAGGCAGAAACTCTCAGAACAGTCAGATCCCAAGTTGTTTTCATGTTTTTTATATAGTTTTAAAAACCTAAATGGCAGGACTGTTCTATTTCATTATTGAGACAGAATTACACTCATATCACCCAACTGTATAAAACTTGACCTTGTGAAGTGCTCATTACCTCTTTAGAGTTGCTTAGTGTCCTCAATTACTATAGAAGT